CACACTCGGAGCCGGGCGCCGCCGCAGCCCCGTGCCCTGCCTCAGGTGAGCGCGGCTTCGGGCTGGAGCCCGCCGGGCGCGGGGGCGTCAAACGCCCCGTCGGTGCCGGGGCCGGCCTTGGGCCCGGACACCGCGGTGGGGAGCGGGGAGCCGAGCCCTGCTCCGACAGTGGCGTTAAAACCTCCAGCTTTGCTTAAAACGCTTTGGCAGCAGTAGTAAATAGTCGAGTCCTTGTGTGCCGTGGTGACACCAAAGTAAATAGAACTTTTACCGCAAGGGAAATGCGTTCACTGTTTCCACTCGACTACTTGTTTGAATGTCAAAATACAAGAATTTTATTCCCCCCCTCCCCCTCTGTTTTCTTGTCTCTATTCCTTAGTAGCTGGAGATGGAGAAAAAGATGCGCTGCCCCATTGCAACTTGCAGGTTTACACGTACACCTGTGATGTGGGCAAAAGAGAAAATGTCTACTCAACAGCTGAGAGAGTCCGCAAGGAGGTTGGCGAGGTCTCTGTCCTGGTTAACAATGCTGGTGTGGTCTCTGGACACCATCTTCTGGAGTGTCCTGATGAGCTCATTGAGAGGACCATGATGGTCAACTGTCACGCACACTTCTGGGTAACTACAAACTTCTTTCTCCTGCCTTTCTTGTCGGTTAATTTTGGGGAAATTAACTGCTGTTGCTTAATGCCTCTTGCCTGGAGTTTTGCACTTGCTTCCTTTCATTAGTAAGATCACCATGTTGGGGGTTCTTTTTCTTAACTTACAGTTCTGTTTAACAGGAAGGGTGAGTATTAAAATTATTAACAAATAGTTTTAAGTCGACTATGTTCTCTTAGAATCCAGAGTTCTAAGCCTTGTGCCCTTCTCTATAGCCTAGAATATGAAATCTTTTGCAAGCATAACCTCTGAGTCTGCTTAAAGGTTGCTACAGTTAATGCATGGCTTCTCAGCCTTCCTCCAATAGTCTTCTGCCAGAATGTTAGCAGTTTTAAGATGCTGTTTTAATGATGGTTACAATAGCAAACTTGCACATTTCTGGAAAAAATACTTAAAACCCCTGCTGGAAACGTTGTTTGAATTGCCTTGGAGGCAAATTGTTCCTTTTGAAGGCTGGGAGGAAAGGCAAAAAGGATTTCTCAAGAAATCAAGCCAAGAACACTTTTTCAGGAATCCTGCATATTTGTCCTCATAGCTTTCTCTGGGAGCTGCCAGTAGAAGTAAGAAAGTCTTTAATATGGTTTCTGGGGTGATAATGTCACCATAACTAGCAGATGCTAATCAAGGAGAACAAGCTATGTGATACTGCTTTTTTTTGTCTGTCTAAACCTTGTTTTCCCGTGTGGTTTATTTTTAAACCCACAATAGTGTGGAGTTACATAAATTGGAGTGTTGAAGGAGAGCATGATGCACACTCGGGTTAGCATTAGCTGTCAGACTGAGCCCATTGTTAGTACTAAAACTGCTCTTTGGTCCTTCAAATAAGGTTATGAAATACACTTGCATAACAATCAAAGGATTAAGCAATCTGAAATATACTTCAACTTAAGCCTTCTTTGGCTGCTCTTACCTTTTCATAATAAAATTTTGTGAAATGCCTCATCTTCAGAACTTAGAAGGCCCTCCCAGATATAACTTTTTTAACATGGAAGTGAAATGCTGTTTCATAACCCTAAAGGAGCCCCTTAAAGTCTGTGCTGTGAAACACTTAATGGCAGAGCAGTCTTTTTCCAGTGTATTGTAAAGCTTGCAGAGAGAGTGCTTAAACTTCAGTGCACATGGGATAATGTATTTAGAAACTCTTTTAAACTCTGAAAGTATATTTTAAGACAATTTGAAAAGTTCTGGGAAAGCTCATATGACTTCTTACAACTAAGAGCTCTGCGTGTTCCCCTTCATAAAAGTTAAATTGATGCTTAAGCAAACAGAGATGTGCACTAGATTTAATGACTGTTATTGATGTGGTTTAAATGCAGAATTGACAAAGTTTCCAAGAACTCTAAATTATGACATCACCATGAATTAAAATATGGGAGGATCCTAAATTCTCCAGCTGTTCTTCCTTCAGGCCTAAGTCATACACTTATTTATAACATTGTTTCAGAGACCTTTTTAAAGCACCCTCTGTGTGTTCTGAGTCTCTTACAGTAATAGAAAACTAAACTTAGTCTAGTACTGCTATGATAGGGTTTCCATAACAGTTTCACTCATCTCTAAATGTTAGTGTGAAGTGACTTTAAAAAAACCTAATTACTCCAGGAAGGTATAGTTAGATCTGAACTGTGGAACTCGAGATCTTGGCTTAAGCTTCTAAGCAGCAGTCAACACCCTTTATATTTAATTGAGGATCTGTTCATATGTACACATCCTGCAGATACAGTGTCCTGCTTTGCTTTTCCTTTTAGCTTTTGCTGTTGGCAAAGCTTTTTTTCCTTGTCTTCCCCCTCATGATCCCAGGAAAGGTTGGCTTGACCAATAGTGGGTGGACTTCTGTTAAAAGTAATAGTACTTAATTCATAAGATATCATCTGAATCAGCTGATTTGAAGCCAACTTTCTTGATGCAAGTCAGTGCTGACTTAAATAGAACAATGTGTCTAGATGTGTGAAGTCTTATACAGCTAGTCTTTTCCATGTCAGCTAAACTGGTGGTCCAAAAGCAAAGCTAATACTCTGGAGCATTATGTAGACTTTTAACTATTCTTGGAGGGTGTTTTGTCCAAAAAACTGTAAATGGATTTTAAAGACATGGATCTTACATGTAACATTGCTTCAGTAGTTAAGTGTCTGTACTTCCTGGGTTTTTAATGTGTGATGGGAAATTCTTCCTCATCCCTTGACTTAATCAAGCCTCAGTGTACATCTATATAAAAACCTGAAATGAGATTCTAGTACTGTCCCCTTGAAACATCAGAAGATTGACTGCCTGCTCTTTGTGTGGTATGCAGGTGATCTGAGCTTGCTTTACATTAGCATCCACAATCTGAAGGCTGCCCAACTTCTGCAGTAGGCAGTGACATGAAAGTCTGTCACTGGTTTGCTGTTGTGACTCCAACTGGGCTGTGTACTATATCACAACCTGGCAGTCAAGAGAGCCTTAGCAGTGTGCCACAGCCTAAACAGATGCTTTTCATTTTGCTGACATTCATGATTTGTATAATCCTTCCTGTGAGTGTTCTATATAAACATGTCACCACTGCATCATGTAGCAATTTCCACAGTGTAAAATCCACTGCAGTATTAAAAACCTGTTATTTCATGCTGTGATAACTTGAATGCTTCTGATATTGAAAACACAGGGACAAAATCCATTCCTGGTTTGAAACAAGCCAGCTCTGGCTTACTATAATTTGCAGATGCATAAAACTGTAGCAGAAGTGTAACACTATCTTTCCTGTTGCAGGAATGACTGACTTGGTTGCACTTGTCAATTACTGGAGCTGAACTTGTGCAGACTAGGAAATTTTCTTCCTGTGATATGTCAGGATTCAAATTTGAAAAATGTTAAATCACAGTATAAGATAAAGCTGTTGCTTAATCAGTTTTAAGCAAATATAGGAATAACTGGTCGTCTTTCTTGTGGTTTTACAATAAAGGTTAAGTAAAGTATCAAAATAATCTGGTTTAGATCTTGGAACTGTATTTAATAAAACTACTGTACAGACTCTTATTTTGGGACAATTTGAGATTCTTATACCCACTGTGACACTTTTTATCTGGAAGAATAATGCTGTTGCTGGATAAGTAACATCAGCATAGTACCCTGATTGCTGAGTGAGACTTGTGGAGGGGCAGGGGCAAGGTGATGATCAGAGTCTGAAGTTCTGTGACACAAAGGTCCTTCTGTAGAGCAGATCTTCAGTATTTAGCTCAGAACAGTGATCTGCATTTCCCTGTCATGTGGATACCCCAAACTTTCAGCTTAAAGCTCTCCTAGAGGAGTTCTCTTCAACTTACCAAAAGGGGGAAGCAAAAGCATTCAGCTCCAGCTCTGTCATAATTATAAAAAAAAAATCCACATAGTGAGAGACTAGGGCCCAGAATTTGAAGACTTGTGTACTGCTGTCTTAACCAGAGTAGTTGTCTTCATTCACTTATGAATGACTTGATTTTTGGAGTTATGCAGGTATACTTATCTTTGTAGGAATTGAACAAATCTTCTAGGTGGCCTGACATTGATACAGGAAGAGATAAATAGTAAAGAGGGAAATGCTACTCAAGTAATTAGGACATTCATAAATAGTCTAAACCTTAAATGTAATGCAGTTACTAAATCAAATACCTCTTTATGCAGCCACTGTAGTTGTCAGTTGAATTCGGCTGGCAGGATTGCTAAAGCCTTGGAAAATTCAGTGGCTTATAATTGTCTGTAATGTATCAATACTTACATACTGTTATTCTAGTCTCTTCAGGCTCCCTGGTGTTAAATAAAGCTTACTTAGGCCTATAGTTTTAGTTTAAATATGGGAGTATTGCACTTAGTGTACATATGAATATTCTACAGAAGAGAAGACAGCTTAAACTATGTTACTTGAAACTATACCATGCTGAGTCTTGTGGCCTGTTGGCATAGCAGTTTGATTTTTGTCTTTATTGCTGCGTCTCTTAGTATCTATAATCAAATATAAACACAATATTCCACTGATAGACCAGCTAGCTCTATTTAGCATTTTGGATGCGTGGAATTAGCAGCTTTAAATTATTTTTTTTAATTTCATGATAACTTATCCCAAGATGCATAATTTTACTTACAAAGTTTAATCTACAAGTTCTTGACTTTTTTCTTTGAAAAATGAGTTGGATCATGTTCAAGCAAAACATGTGCATGTGATCCAAAAAGTGTCATCAAAACTAACTCTTCCCTTGCAAAATGATTCCAACTACATGCCACCAGTAAATTACCCTGGACAGCACATGTGTTTCATATACTGTGGTAGCATGCTGAGTAGTGAATATGAAGGAAAAAGCAGTTATACTCTTAGCTATGAAAATAGTCATACTAGTTGTACTTAAAACTTCTAAGTGCTTTGGTATGGTTTTGCAGTTCATATGTTCTTGGGTTCATTTCTCAAATAGAGGGAATCTGTCAATTGAGAAAAATAGTATCTTCCAGATGCATGCTCTAGAAAACTGCACTTTTCCATTTTCTAAAGGAAAGTAGTTAACACAGGTTTTATAATATAAATGGCTGGATATGTTTTTCTGGAGCTTGAGTAGGCATAAGACTACTGGTTCAGAGCTTTCCTCAGATTTTTTTTATGGTCTACCGGGAGTTTGTCTAGCACTGTCAAGGACAGTTGTCATCAACATGCAATTGTTAATTTTGTAACCTGAATCTTGCAGTCTGTACGTATCTGCAGCCTAGCCTTGTAGTCACATTTTAGTTGTAGCAATCATTTTCACAAAAAACATTGAAAGTTTTTCAGTTTTCTGATCCTTTTTATGGGGACCACCAGCCCAGACCATTTAGTTAGGTAGCCAGATGTCTAAGCTGTGACTGTGGAAGTGATCTTACCAGTTTCAGAGTAGATGGGAATAAGGATAAAAATGACTTGTCAGATAATGTACTCACTCATCTGAAGAGTCAGCAAGCATAATTAAGCACATCGCAGTGGGGTG